TTCTGAATCATTATGTGTAAGATACTGTATCATTTCTTTTATTATTTTAATGTTATGCTTATGCTGATATAAAAATTTTTCATAAAAACTTGATATAACAAAAATCATGATTAATGTTGTCTTAAAGTGTTATAAGCATGTACTAGATTGTATTATTTCATCATTTTAAGCTTATTTAAAAATTTCTCGATTACGAATTTAATGTCATCTCTAAAATAATTCTAGCATGTAGCAGATTTTATCATTTTATCATTTTAATGTTATTATTATTTAAAAATTTCTCAACTATGAAATTAATGTTGTAGCTAAGGTATTACAAGTAAGAAATTGTATCATTATATTATTTTAATGTTATTTCGTTTATTTCAAAATTTCTCTAATCTTTTACGAATTTAATGTTATTGTAAGAACATGTAGGTCAATCATTATATTATTTACAAGTAATAAATATATGAATATAATAAAAATTTTTAAAAATTACAACGCATTACATAATAATTACGTTTTTCCATATTTTTTAGATATAATCACTAATCAAAATCTTAAAAAAAAACTTGATTTTTATATTTTGATTAAATAAAACTTAATTAATTGATCTGAATTGAATAATTGAGACATTGAAGATAAATAATTCTCTTTACGCAATAAATTTTTATTTATTAAGTTAAAATACTAAATTATATTTCAGTGTGAGGAATATTTGTATATATTTTTTTGATATTTCATTGCAATGTACAGATAAAAAGCTGATGCGTTATCATAATGCAGCATCCACGATTTCAGTCCATTCTTGTTAAAATATCTTCGATATTAATATCGAGATATATGTATATATCGATTATATGTATATCGATTATTATGTATTTTATTGTTTATTTTTATTGATCAAACATTTTAAACATTAAAAGAAACACAATCGAAGACGGACGCAAACATTTAAACAGGATAATAAAACATTTTAAAAATTTAGAGAAATACAATCGAAAACGGACGTGAACATTTAAACAGAATAAAAGATAAAGGAGCATATGAAGGTGTAAAGAAGAGATAGGATAGTCGCTCGAAATTAAGATCGTGCATCTGAAATCACTCGTTTCAATTTAATCTCGTTTCTATTCCTGTATTTCCAAGAACATGTAAGTTAATCAATATATTATTTGCAATTAATAAATATATGAATATAATGGTAATGTTAAAAAATTACAACGCATTACATAACAATTACGTTTTTCTATATTTATTAGATATAATCACTAATCAAAGTCTTAAAAATAAACTTGATTTTTATATTTTGATTAAATAAAACTTAATTAATTGATCTGAATTGAATAATTGAGACATTAAAGATAAATAATTCTCTTTACGCACAAAAAATCTTTATTCAATTCATTAATTTAAAATACTTAATTATATTTCAGTGTGATTAAAATAGTTTCAAATTGATATTGATTCATAAATTATATATTATTTTATATAATTTCCTTAAAAATGGTCCCCTCTCTGTGCAATGTACTTATGTCATGCTTCTTCCAACTTTGGAAACATTTTAATAGAGTTCATAGATTGATTTTGGAATGGCCTTTAATTCCCGCAGTGAATTTCTTTTAATATTGTTTATGTTGTTAAATCGGTGGCCTTTCAATAATTTTTTTCAACTGGGGCAACAGGTAAACGTTTGTTGATTGAGTGAATAGAAAGATTGTGGTAATTGCAGGTAAGTAAATGTAATATCGAATCACAATAAAGTAATATTATAAACATTGGTATATATCATCCATTTGCATACATTTATTTGCAGTTGGTATGCGATCACAGGACTCTAATCACACATTGCTACACTGGACATCCTGGTTCTGTTCATGAGTTTTTCGGCAGTCAGAAATGGCAGATTTCTTAAATGATACAGAAAAGTTTCCTGCAAACAGCCATATTCTGGGTGATGCTGCATATGAGCTGCATCAACACCTGCTTACTCCTTTCCAGGACAATGGCCATTTAACTGAGAAACAAAGAAGTTACAACTACCGCCATTCAGCAGCCAGGGTAGCTGTAGAAAGATGTATTGGTTTGCTGAAAAGACGAATGAGAAGTTTACTTGATCGGTTACCCATGTCAAGGATAGATTTGATGGCAGAATATATTATATCATGTTGCGTGATTTACAATATTTGCACACTACGAAGAGATTAAATGATTGTTGTCACAATTCCTCCATCTTCACACGAAAATGTCACACAAAATATTTCACGTAAAGGAAAACAAAATACAGACATTAATAAGATAAATGTAATTATGAATAGGTTGCAGCTCTAAAACAAATGCCTGGAAAATTGTAAATGTATATATTGTAATTTTCCTTGACATATTTTGATTGAAATTTTTAAGTTAAATTTAGTTGAATTATTATGTTTTGCGATGCAAATTTGAAATAAATTTTATTATTGGATTTAATTATGGGATTATTTTTAACCTCTTTATCCTTAACTTTAACTTCTTTTACTCTTACTTTTACTCTTACAGTGTACTTTCTGTATACAATCAGAACAAGAAAATTAAAAATTATAGAAATTTCCAAATAAAACAAATTTATTGTAAAACAAAACAACTTTTATAAAAACATTCTCTTCACTTTTGATGATATCTCTCAAAATCAAATATACCGCGTTAACTGGCAATCCTTAAACATGCGATTGGGCATGTATAAAAAAATACGAGTTTTATTATTTTATAGCTATATTATTTTTAACTACATTACAACATATTCAAAGTCCATCAAAATCGGAACACTTGGGTACATTTTTCTTGTAAATCACGATAGAAAAAAATAATAGAGGAAACTTTTTCACTGTGTACTATAATCTACCAGTTTGTGATTATATTTTTTCGAATAATACACTAATACACCAGCAAAATCTAACTGCATCTTTTTTTAAATAAAATTATATACTTTTTTTAACCGTAAATCGATTCTTCTCATTATTTTGTATATAAAAATATTAAAATAACATAATCGAAAAACTAATATTTTGCCTCATATTACACATTTTATTTCATAAAATTATTTTATTACACTTAAGTACTTAAATGTGCTACCATGACATTCTAAATTCACAGGTTTTTTATGTTATGTTTTTATAACATTGTCAAGTTGGTCATTAGTTACATTACAACAAGCTATTATAATTCGTTCTTTCAAGTTATTTTGTGAAAAAAATTTCTGCAAAAAAAATTACACGTTATCTTTTATGACATAAAATGTGTAATATATAGAGGAAATATATATGTGCGTATATAAAAATATAAAAACATAAAAACATCTTTAAAACCATTAGTGACAAAAGCTTGTAAAAATTGCAAATTTTATTTCATGTCATTCCTCTTATTTTTCGCTTTGATCCTTAAGAGCAAGGATTTAAACAAAAAAACAAGCGAGAAAAGCGTGAAAAGCGCGTATGTAATGATTGAATGCGGTTAATGTCGTCTTGTATGGGATTCACCAAGAAGTACATTATGATTATCGATGTGAACCTGGCGCTCGACTTTACAAAAATTAAAATTTAATAATATGGTTCGTTTGTATTTCGTTTGTACCTGTTTGTACCGCACTTTATTTCGTTTATACCTCTAAGGATAAACAAATACAAAGTGGTTAAAAAATGGCCAGCGCTCAACTTTCAGATATTTTAATTTTGTTAATGCCATTCGATAGAGAATCGTTTTTGTACTCGTTTGTACCTTTTTTTATTTTGTTTGTACTTCAAAGGATTCGGAGATACAGCGTTTTTCAGTTTTAGCGTACCCCTTCTACAGGGAACTTAACCATTTTACAAGATATCGAGAAACGGCCAACGGCATTCGAAAGAGAATCGTTTGTACCCGTTTGTACTTCAAAGTTCGGAGATAGTTTAGTTTCCTATAGAAGAGGTATGCTAAAACTGAAGAACACTGTATCTCCGAACCCTTTGAGGTACAAACGAAAACAAAAGAGGTACA